ATGTCTACCAGATCCCACTGGTCACATCCATATCCCCGGTCACTTCCACATCCCCTGGTTATTTCCATATTCCCTAGTCACTTCCATATCCCCTGGTCACTTCCATATCCCCTGGTCACTTCCATATCTCCTGGTCACTTCCATATCCCCCGGGCACTTCCATATTCCCTGGTCACTTCCATATCCCCGGTCACTTCAATATCCCCTGGTCACTTCCATATCCCCTGGTCACTTCCATATCCCCTGGTCACTTCCATATCCCCTGGTCACTTCCATATCCCCTGGCCACTTCCATATTTCCTGGTCACTTCCATATCCCCCGGGCACTTCCATATTCCCTGGTCACTCCCATATACCCTGGTCACTTCCATATCCCCTAGTCACTTCCATATCCCCCGGGCACTTCCATATTCCCAGGTCACTTCCATATCCCCCGGTCACTTCCATATCCCCCGGTCACTTCCATATCCCCTGGTCACTTCCATATCAACTGGTCACTTCCATAACCCCGGTCACTTCCATATCCCCTAGTCACTTCCATATCCCCTAGTCACTTCCATATCCCGTAGTCACTTCCATATACCCTAGTCACTTCTATATCCCCTAGTCACTTCCATATTCCCTGGTCACTTCCATATTCCCTAGTCACTTCCATATCCCCTGGTCACTTCCATATCCCCTGATCACTCCCATATCCCCCGGTCACTTCAATATCCCCTAGTCACTTCCATATCCCCTAGTCACTTCCATATCCCCTAGTCACTTCCATATCCCCTAGTCACTTCCATATTCCCTGGTCACTTCCATATCCCCTAGTCACTTCCATATTCCCTAGTCACTTCCATATCCCCTAGTCACTTTCATATTCCCTGGTCACTTCCATATTCCCTAGTCACTTCCATATCCCCTAGTCACTTCCATATCCCCTGGGCACTCCCATATCCACTGGTCACTCCCATATCCCCTGGTCAATTCCATATCCCCCGGGTACTCCCATATCCCCTGGGCACTTCCATATCCCTGGGTCACTTCCATATCCCCTGGTCACTTCCATATCCCCCGGTCACTTCCATATCCCCCGGGCACTTCCATATTCCCTGGTCACTTCCATATCCCCCGGTCACTTCCATATTCCTTGGTCACTTCCATACTCCCTAGTCACTTCCATATCCCCGGGTCACTTCCATATTCCCTGGTCACTTCCATATTCCCTAGTCACTTCCATATCCCCCGGTCACTTCCATATCCCCTCGTCACTTCCATATTCCCTAGTCACTTCCATATCCCCGGGTCACTTCCATATCCCCTGGTCACTTCCATATTCCCTGGTCACTCCCATATCCCCTGGTCACTTCCATATTCCCTGGTCACTTCCATATTCCCTGGTCACTCCCATATCCCCCGGTCACTTCCATATTCACTAGTCACTTCCATATCCCCTGGTCACTTCCATATCCCCTGGTCACTTCCATATCCCCTGGTCACTTCCATATTTCCTGGTCACTTCCATATACCCGGTCACTTCCATATCCCCTGGTCACTTCCATATCCCCTGGTCACTTCCATATCCCTGGTCATTTCCATATCCCCCGGGAACTTCCATATCCCCTGGTCACTTCCATATCCCCCGGGCACTTCCATATTCCCTGGTCACTTCCATATCCCCGGTCACTTCAATATCCCCTGGTCACTACCATATCCCTGGTCACTTCCATATCCCCTGGTCACTTCCATATCCCCTGGTCACTTCCATATCCCCTGTCCACTTCCATATTTCCTGGTCACTTCCATTTCCCCCGGGCACTTACATATTCCCTGGTCACTCCCATATCCCCTGGTCACTTCCATATCCCCTAGTCACTTCCATATCCCCCGGGCACTTCCATATTCCCAGGCCACTTCCATATCCCCCGGTCACTTCCATATCCCCCGGTCACTTCCATATCCCCTGGTCACTTCTATATCCCCTGGTCACTTCCATATCCCCGGTCACTTCCATATCCCCTAGTCACTTCCATATCCCCTAGTCACTTCCATATCCCCTAGTCACTTCCATATCCCCTAGTCACTTCTATATCCCCTAGTCACTTCCATATTCCCTGGTCACTTCCATATTCCCTAGTCACTTCCATATCCCCTGGTCACTTCCATATCCCCTGATCACTCCCATATCCCCCGGTCACTTCCATATCCCCTAGTCACTTCCATATCCCCTAGTCACTTCCATATCGCCTAGTCACTTCCATATCCCCTAGTCACTTCCATATCCCCTAGTCACTTCCATATTCCCTGGTCACTTCCATATTCCCCAGTCAATTCCATATTCCCTAGTCACTTCCATATCCCCTAGTCACTTTCTTATTCCCTGGTCACTTCCATATTCCCTAGTCACTTCCATATCCCCTGGTCACTCCCATATCCCCCGGTCACTCCCATATCCCCTGGTAACTTCCATATCCCCTGGTCACCCCCATATCCCCTGGTCACTTCCTTATCTCCTGGTCACTTCCATATCCCCTGGGCACTCCCATATTTCCTGGTTACTCCCATATCCCCTGGTCACTTTCATATCCCCCGAGCACTCCCATATCTCCTGGTCACTTCCATATCCCCGGGTCACTTCCATATCCCCTGGTCACTTCCATATCTCCCGGTCACTTCCATATTCCCTAGTCACTTCCATATCCCCTGGTCACTTCCATATCCCCTGATCACTCCCATATCCCCCGGTCACTTCAATATCCCCTAGTCACTTCCATATCCCCTAGTCACTTCCATATCCCCTAGTCACTTCCATATCCCCTAGTCACTTCCATATTCCCTGGTCACTTCCATATCCCCTAGTCACTTCCATATTCCCGAGTCACTTCCATATCCCCTAGTCACTTTCATATTCCCTGGTCACTTCCATATTCCCTAGTCACTTCCATTTCCCCTGGTCACTCCCATATCCCCCAGTCACTCCCATATCCCCTGGTAACTTTCATATCCCCTGGTCACTCCCATATCCCCTGGTCACTTCCATATCCCCTGGTCACTTCCATATCCCCTGGGCACTCCCATATCCCCTGGTCACTCCCATATCCCCTGGTCACTTCCATATCCCCCGGGCACTCCCATATCCCCTGGGCACTTCCATATCCCCGGGTCACTTCCATATCCCCTGGTCACTTCCATATCCCCCGGTCACTTCCATATCCCCTATCCCCGGTAGTCACTTCCATATCCCCTGGTCACTTCCATATTCCCTAGTCACTTCCATATCCCCTGGTCACTTCCATATCCCCTGGTCACTTCCATATTCCCTGGTCACTTCCTTATTTCCTGGTCACTTCCATATCCCCTGGTCACTTCCATATCCCCTGGTCACTTCCATATCCCCTGGTCACTTCCATATCCCCTGGTCACTTCCATATTCCCTGGTCACTTCCATATCCCCTGGTCACTTCCATATCCCCTGGTCACTTCCATATCCCCTGGTCACTTTCATATCCCCTGGTCACTTCCATATCCCCTGGTCACTTCCATATCCCCTGGTCACTTCCATATCCCCTGGTCACTTCCATATCCCCTGGTCACTTCCATATCCCCTGGTCACTTCCCTGGTCACTTCCATATCCCCTGGTCACTTCTATCTCTACCACTCTCTTGAGACTCGATCATCGATTCGTGCATCTGAATTGTTCACTTGCGCTCAAAGGACCTTGACCGTGTCTATATTGTCATGTATAAATTTGCCACGCATTGGAGTAGAACCAACCAATCTGTCTGTCTGTTCATTTCCGAACATTCCTTTATGCCCTGGAGACAATATTTAAAGAACGGTTACTGCCCGGCACCTCTAAAGCGATGCTTGCCACTCTGCATGTTGCAAGTCTATCGCCCTTTCATTGCATGCTTTGTGAGTCGGTAGCAATCACTACTTGAGTGTACAACTGTTTCCGAAGTCAGCGAAAAGCTGTTTTGACTGCCTGCACCTCCATTCTCAAATATATATTTGTAGTATTATACGCTAGATATTGTTGCTCAAAGCACCGTACTTTGATTTCTGCAATGATCGCACACGGACCTCTTTTGTCTATAAGACAGCGCCAACTGCACAGATAATAACACCACCTGGACCAGAATTATCGTGAATTAATTGTTGATTTTTTGATTATGCAGTGCCACACGCATTAAAAACGTGAACGGTGTTCGAAGTTGTTGACAATTTCAATTACCAGTAATACTGTTTTTTGTAACTGGCGTCGGAATCAAGTTAAAGCTACACTCTTATTAAGTTACAGTGCGAGTGTTTGGGTTACGCTGATGTTTAACATTGGATTATGTGTTTAACATTAACAGTTCTCGGCTTTATCGTGGTTTTATATATTGTGATCTAGGTGTTAATGTGATAGATGATAGAACATTTGAGTTTAACAGATATATTATTACATGTATGTCAAAATGGTGGCCGGCGGGCAGCCCAGGGCAAGCATAAAAGCGGCTCGCACAAGGAACATATTCAGCATTAATTTTTTATTGTATGTTGAAATAAGAATTGACGTCATAGCCCTCGTGACAATCCCATGAGCGATATGTCCCTTCAGCAGCAAGCGAAAAGTTTCAATGGTACCAGTAACTGTCTTATGTACATTTATCTCCCCTTTTCCTTGAGCGTTGAGCGTCGGCCAGATTCCCTGGTAACACCCCGTTGCGCCATTCTCCTCAGACCATAGTGATCTATTTGTACCTCCGTACTGTTCACTGGCTCCTCAAAAGGCTCTGACCACATCTAGCGTGTCATACAAGAATCGTTTGTTTGATTCAATAACTAATCAGTTGTCGTGTGTGACCCTCATGAGAACAACAGTCGACCCATATGGCATTTAAAGTGACAACGTTTGACCTATATGGTACTCATAGCGACCAAGTTTGACCCATAAAGTACTCATAGCGACAAAGTTTGACCCATATGGTACTCATAGCAACAACATTTGACCCATATGGTACTCATAGCGACCAAGTTTGACCCATATGGTACTCATAGCGACAACATTTGGACCCATATGTCACTTACATCGACAACATTTGACCCATATGGCACTTACAGCGACAACATTTGACCCACATTGCACTTGTAACGACACATTTGTACCCGTACGGCAGTCAAGGAACTCTTAGTTTGACATGCTTGCTGTAGGGCGTCTGCAGCGTGGACGTTGCGATAGCACCTTTTAGAAAGCGTTTTCTACCGCTGTCTCCGTTCTTTCTTTCCTCCGGTGTCTGTTCTTTCTTTAAAGCTAGGTTTTGAAGAAGCATCTGGTGCGAGCTTTGGTGTGTGCTTAGCAGATGCTGGTTCTTCCAGACTCGAATATTTCATCAATCCATTGCTGGTGGGCCACCTCTAGCAAAGCCCCTGATGTTTCATACCATTGTTATTTCTGATCCTGTCTCCACTAATTACAATAAGGATACCTCCGAGACAGTTCATTTCGTTTCCCTTTTCCCTTTGTTACTGTGACATTTGACACTGGCTTTACAGTAGGGGTTTAAAAAAAAAATTCACTAATTATCTTTCCGTGTCAATTTTATATGTTTATTATTTAGTTTTGGTGACATCTGCCCAGTTATTTGATTTACGTTGTTAAATCTGTATTTTGTGTCTAAATATTATGTTTATATATTTTTTTACCATCGGATAAAAAAATGTCTCCTAAACACTTGAAGTATTTTGCATGCTGAGCTGATTTCGTGTGCTGGATGTTGGTTAAGAACGTTGGGTTCTCATCAATGTCACACAGGTTCAAATCACAAGTAAAGTGATGAATGTTTTTGCCGCAGTAGCAAAGACATTTTTTTTTTCTGTCCCAACGTTTGTCTGCCATTCAACTTTATATTGCCATTGCGGTTTGTATCGTTGACTTGTCTTCCAATGTCTGCCATCGCACTATACGTAAAAGGAAATTGTGTAGGTTGTAAATTGGGGCTATTGTGATATTGCCGATACCGACTGTCCATTGCTTTTCAGACATATTGTGGCAGGAGATTTCAGTTAAAATGCCACAGAGACGATTTAAAAGTTATCTCGAGGAGGCAATGAATAATAAGAAGAAGACTGATGTAATCGTTTTCAAACTGAACTTTTATATTCAAATTTTTTTGAGGCGATAGGCCACAGAGGTTTTATCTTTTTGGTGATCTGTCTCATTTCGTGGAGACTTGTTTAGAAAGCACTGCGAATATGACTGTCATTTCGGTCATTTCATCTGATAGCTAATCTCGGTGTCTGATGGTCCTTGGTTTTCGAATTAGTTCAAGATAACAGCGTTTCTCTCTCTCTCTCTTTCTCTCTCTCTTTTTCTCTCTTTCTCTCTCTCTCTTTCTCTCTCTCTCACTCTCTCTCTCTCTCTCTCTCTCTCTCTCTCTCTTTGTATCCCTCTTTCTTTCTCACTCACACTCACACACACACAGACACTCAATATTTTCTCTCCATCTTGCTCATTATTTCTCACCCTGTTTCACTCTCTATCGTCCATCCCCTCCCCGTCTCTCTCACTTACTTTTTCCCTATCCCTTCTTTTTTTTTTCTTCTTTCATTTCCACTAAATTTTTTTCTTATTCATTATATATCCATCAGCTTGAATCGGCTAACACTTTTAATTCAGTGCTGGTTATTATTTGTTTCCCTCTCTGTCTGTAACTCCCTGCATAGTGCCCTTGTCTGGTCTCAGACATTTTGATGCTCTTGTATTCTAGTCATATGTGCGGATTCGTAGCTGCATCGTAGCTCACTTTCATTGTTGACTGTATACGTCCCATTACAAATGTTATGAAGATTTCATCTATCTTGATCTTAAACACTAGAGCTGATTAACTATACCATACCAAACAAAGCACACACTCACAGATACAAGCCACCAACGCTCTACACTCAATACTTATTTTGAGCAATTCTAGTTTAAATATAAAGTAAAGTAAACGACCCTTTTACAAGCCTTGAAACCTA